GCGGGAAAGGCCCCTGGGCCCGATGGTTTCCCCGCCGATTTGTTTAAGGTCGCCCCCCGTGATATTGCCAAAAGTTTATGCCCACTCTTTGCCAAAATTGCAATCGCGGCCCGTGAACCGATTGCGTTCAAACTGGGGGAGGTCACTTTCTTCTACAAGGGGTCAGGCCCTGCTCAGTTAGCCAAGGCCCAACGGAACATTACCATGGCTAGCACTGTATGCAAGCTGTACTACAGACACGTGCGCGCGCTTGCACTACAATATTTGGCCCAGTGCCTCTTGGCTGAGCAGTGTGGGGGGGTTACGCGCAAGGGGCCCGACATGGCTCTCCACGGGGTGTTCCTGGCTTCCCAGGCGTCCATTATGCACAAGAGGTCCTTGCTAGTACTTTCTCTGGGCTTAGTTGACGCTTTTTTACAGTGCTATTAAGCAATGCGCTATGGACCTGCCTGGGGAGGAGGAAAAGCTCAGGGATGCTTTGGAGCGCGTAGATATACCGCCGCTTCTTCTTGAAGGCGCGAAGAGCTTGCTGGCTGCGCCCAAGCTGCTAGAGTCCAAAGTATCTAGCAGACATCTCATGGCTCTGATCAGGGAGACTCAGAGAGGCACGTTCTGGAGGGTGAGAGGAGCTGGACACTTTGTCATCCCAGGAGGCGGCACGAGGCCAGGCACGGTCCTGGCCACAGATGTGTTTAACTTGGTTTTCCGTAACGTTTTATTAAAGATCCGTGCAAGAATCAAGCCACTGGCGTGCAGTGCAAGGGAAGCGCTACCGCAGCCCGAAGAGTTTGTGTGTGCCAACGAGCAGGATTGGCAAGATGCGCAACCTGACCTCTCATTTGTTGATGATCTCACCGTGTCTCTCTTCGTGCGCGTTGCCCATGCCATGCCTCATACAGCCCTTGCTTTGGCCGGATCAGTGTGCATTGCAGCACTGTCTGTCGGGCTTCGCCCCAATGCCGCCAAGACCAAGATTTTGGTTGCCTTACGTGGGAAGGGGTCTAGGGGGGTGCCTGGTTTCTCGGACAGGTCACTGGAGGCTGTGGTTTCCGCCAAGTGGGGGTTCTCGTTTCCGATTGTTCAGCAGCACAAGATCCTGGGTGCCTTAGCGACCTCGTCGGGCTCCATGGCGCCTGAGATCACCGCACGCGTTGCCAAGTGCTTGGGATCCCTGAGGCCCATTAAGGCCTCGGTGGCTCCTAGGGGGGCTCTTTCCCTAGGAGCCAAGACCCTATTTGCAGAAGCGATTGCTGCTTCCGTGCTGTTCTATGCGGCGGGAGTGTGGCCAAAGCTCACAAGTGCCCAAGCTAGAAAGATGGGCACAACGCACGTGTCTGTGTACAGGTGTGCTCTCAACCTTGCCAGTGCCAACAACGCATCCTCACGCGAGCGCAGTGCGTGCGTGCTCTCGAGAGTTGATCGACTTCCTTTTGATGTTGTCATGACCATTGCCAGGCTACGCTATCTTCGACGGCTCATGTCGTTCGGGGGGGGCCCCCCCCCCCCCCCCTCACCCCCCCCCCCCTCCCCCCCCCCCCCCCCCCCCCCTCCCCCCCCCCCCCCCCCCCCCCCCCATGGCTAGAGTTTTGGTGGATGCCACTTGGAGCAATCAGGGGGCTTGGGCGCAGCTTCTAGTAGCTGACTATGCGTGGCTGAGGTTTCACACGGAACCCCGCCACCGTCCCGAAAATGATTCCCTAGAGGGGCTTTTTAGGTTTGTTCGCGATCAGCCCAGGACCTACAAGTCTTTGGTTTCGGCTGCCGTCATCAAAGCTAAGAGGGCCTCTCGGGATGCTCTTAGGTGCGCTGTTTGGGAGGCCAATTTGGATCAGACTGTGGTGGGTGCCCCGTTGGAGGCCTCTAGTATCCCTGCTGTGATCTTTCAGTGCCCTGATTTTTTTTTGTTGCCTCGAGCCTTCAGCAGTGGCGCGCCCATAGAGGCAAATTCCACAAGGCCCTTGGGGCACCGACCAGGCTTGCTGTTGGGTCCCTCTGTCAGATATGCATGCGGGAATTTCACAACAATCCTCTGCTTGTGCAGCACTTACGCAACTCCCCCACATGTAGAGTGTCGTGGGAAAGGTCAGGGCTTCTGCCCAGCGAGGAGGAGCTAGGTCAGGCACGTGTCGAGTACAAGCAGGTCACGGCGCTCAACCGTGCCAAGGCTCGCCCCGACCACTACGCGGAGCGACCACCGCTACAGTGCTCAGGCCCACCCATAGGCCCCAGGGTCAGGTGCTCGCGCCAGCGGGCACGCTTGATTGCAGAGTCAGTGGAAGGAATCCCGCCTCCTCCTTCCCCCTCGCCCGCTTCCTTTCGCCCTCGCTGGCTCCCCTTTCGCCCTGTCATGTATGTCCTCCATTTGTTCTCTGGGCATCGTCGTGAGGGGGACGTCCAATGGCACTTGGATATTATGGTTGACACCTTCCCCACCAACATCATGGTACTTAGTGTGGATGTTGCTAATCACCCCGTGCATGGTGACTTGACAGTAGAGAGCACTGTTTGGCTCTGGATATCGTTGCTACGTTCAGGCCGTGTAGCGGCGATGATAGCTGGGCCTCCGTGTGAGACGTGGTCCGCGCCAAGACATCTCCCTATCCCAGCCAATGCTCCTGGGGGTGCTCGTCCTCCCCGCCCGCTGCGCTCGAAGGATGCACTATGGGGTTTTGGGCATGTTAATGCACGTGAGTCCGCTCAGATAGCTTTAGGCAATGACCTGCTCAGGACGACGGTTCGGTTTTTATATGAAGCCTGGATTTATGGCGTTCCGGCACTCATGGAGCATCCTTCGACAAATCCCAGGGTACCGGAGGCCCCGAGCTCGTGGCATCTACCCCATCTTAGGCGCTTGTGTGCCCTCGCTGATGTCAGGTTGTTTCATATCAACCAGTGCATGTTTGGTTCCTCCCATTTAAAACCGACCACTCTGCTGGCTGTTCATCTTAACGCTATGAGCACTATACTGGCAGCCAAACCTGGGGGGGGGGCTTTGCATTTATTCTTGGCCTCATCCTGGACTCATGGGGGTTGGTGAAGATGGCCTTTGGCGCACCTCTCATGCTAAGGTTTACCCGTCGGGGCTCCCCCGTTTCCTGGCTGCCAGTATTTTGCAGGAGGCAAGAGCGAGATTCCCACAGTTGTGCCGCGACTCTCCTCCACCTCGGTTATCGCCCGCCGGCCTCGGCAGGTCACCACTCCAGTGGACCCGTCAGGACGAGTTCTGCCTACGTGGGTTGCTTCAGCTTGGGCCCACTACCGACGGATGGGATATGCCTCTTGGGTTGAGGAGATTTGCGGCACCTCTCGACCCTTATCTTACGACTACGGGGTTTGCCATGGACTGCATGCTGCATCAGTCAGAGTCAAGGCGAGCCACATATACGTTATAACCACGACGGTTGCTTGCTTCTCTCTCTATCTCTTTTTTATTCATAGAGTAAGTTGCAGAACTGGTGTGTCGCGTGCCAAGCACGCTCGCGAAAGGGCTCTAGGGGGAAGGGTCGAGGACCGAACAGGTTCCTTGCAGGTTGCGCCATCCTTTAAAGGCAGTGCCCCTAGAGTGAAGTCAGGCAGGGTCAAGGCCTGACCGCCCCCGATTGGGGAGTAGCGAGCATGTTTGGAAGGGGGAAGGCCTATTCTTTTCCTCTTTCTATTGTACTTCCCGCTCCCGTTCTTTAGTCTCGTCAGCTATGAGTGACAGTACCCCGTGCCCGCCCACTGCCAGAGTGGGTCTGCGCGTGCGCTCGAGGCTGTGGCATCCGCTCCTTGCTGCTGCCACTGCCTCTGCCTCGTTCTTCACTCTGTTGTCGTCTCGCCCTCATCTCTCCTACGCGCTTCGACCCTTCTTGTGCATCGACCGACCGACCGACCAACCGACCGAGGAGGAGGAGGAGGATGAGGAGGAGGAGGAGGAGGAGGTAAGGAGGATGATAATCATACAAATAAGTAGACAAAACAGGAGAGGGAGGACAGGGAGGAATACCAAGTATCGGGCTGTCCGACACAGCTGTTGAGGAGGGGGAATTGGGAAGAGTTGGGAAAAGGAAAAGCGAGCCGCGCAGGCAACTTACTCATCGCTAGCCCTAGTTTGATCCCCCAGGGGAGGACGGTAACATCCTCTTGGAACCTGCTGCCATCAGCAAGAGCAACACAGGAGGAGCGAATAGGATGAGAGAGAGGGGGAGAGAGCAGGAGAGGAGGGAGACGAGGGGAGAGAAAAGGGGAGGAGGAGGGAGAGCAGGAGCAGAGGAGGAGGAGGAGGAGGAGGAGGAAAGAGGAGGAGGAGGAGGAGGAGGGAGGGGATACGACAAGCTAGGTGCGCTCGCGTCATATCTGACATCCTACCCCTCCCTCCCATCCCTTACCATGGCGCAGATCCCCTCTCTACTCGCACAGTCGGATGTCGAGCAGGGCAATGATCCCGAAAGGGTACGCGATGCATTGTAGAGCACGGCATGGCATGGCGTAGAAGAGCACCGCAAAGCGTAGTATTAACCGAGCATTGCGTTGCATGCCGTGGCATGGCACAGGAAATGACGCCAGCGCTGCAGCGGGAGCACGAGTCGAAACGAGCGGAAGCGCGGGAATGAGGCCAACGCTGCAGCGGGAGCACGATTCGGAACGAGCGGAAGCACGGAAATGAGCTTGAGGCCAACGCTGCAGCGGGAGCACGATTCGGAACGAGCGGGGTCCGAAAATGAGGCCGGCGCCTCAGCGAGAGCAGCATTTTGGAAAAAAATGCAGGTGAAAAACCAACTCCGGGGAAACCTGTGTGTAAAAAACAGTACGCGGGGGGGGTCGGACACTCCCAGGCCGTCATCAGGGGAAGAGGGAGAGTAGTATTCATATTGAGTAATTGTGGAGGAGGAGGAGGAGGAGGAGGAGGAGGAGGAGGAGGAGAAGGTGGAGGAGCGAGGAGGAGGGAAGGCGATGCCCTGGCGCCGTCGCTGTCGCACGCGCTGCGCTCGCGCGCGCGCGGGCGGGGCCAAGGCGCCCGCTGGTGGCGCGGACATCCAGGAGGGCGGCAGCTCCGGCCCTCCTGGCACGCATGGCGAGGTCCCTCAGGAGGGCAAGAAGGCACTGAGGAAGGCAACTAGCTTGTTTGCTTGGTGGCACACAGCTGCCGGACATGAGCGAGCACCCTACAATCTCCAATTGGATACGTACACGTGCAAGCTGCTACAAACGCACTCCTTGCACCATCCGTCTCGGGGGGAAGGCTGGGTGAGGAGTCGTCCTCGAACGTCGGATGAAGTGCCTCGCGGTTCTCGCAAGCAAGGGGGGGGGGGCTTGGGGGCGCGAGGACCGCTTCCGCCACCAGCCACCCCCGACCCCACGAGGATGAAAGGGAACGACAAGAGAGAGGGTGTGCCAGGCTGAGCGAGGAGATTTCTCCTCGCCTGCCTCGCGCTCGCCGCCGCGGGTGAGGCGAGGGAGGAGGGGGGGAGGGGAGGTGCAGGAGACTGGGCGTGGACGAACAGCGGTCCGAAGCGGGACGCCCGGGGAGACAGCACACCGCAGACCAAGCTGGCCGCACACGCCCGCCCGAATCCGTGAATGTTGAGGCGAGATCGCCGCAGAGACACCTGGCCGCCCCTCCCTCTCTCCCAGCCTCTCCCCTCATCTCCTCCTTTCGGACAAGCGCTAACGTGGATTACGGATTTGTGGATCTGGCGCGTGGGCACCAGATCCACGGATCGGGGGATCGTGACCCCAAAGCATGAGGCCAGTGCAGCCTGAGTTGGCGACGAATCGCGTCGATTTTGGATGGAAGCGGGACCCGTCGCTAGGCCACAAGCTTTAATACATGCTTGCATTTCCCCCATCTCCTTTGCCACGTGCTCCCCCGTCCCCTCCCCCACCCACTAAGTGGGACCCCTGGACATCTCCAACACCTCGAACCGGATCTAGCCGAGCCTCACGGAAACACACCGCGACGACGACGGCGGCGGCGACGACGGCGGCGAGGACGAAGGCGGTGGCAGGGGCGATGGCAACGGCGACAACGACGACGACGACGACGACGGCACCGACAGCGACGACGACGACGCCGACGACGCCGACGACGGCCACGGTGGCCACGGTAACGACGGCGGCGGTGACAGCGACCGCGGCCACGGCAGCGTCGGCGGCCAGAAGCAGCCCGCGGCCCTCGCGCCCGCCTGCTCTGAGGTAGGCGGCACCAGCCACCGCCGCGGCGGCCGGCGCCGCGGCCGGCGCCGCTGCCGCCTCGCCCCCGCCGACGCAGCTGGCGGCGCCGCCGTCTTCGCCGTCTTCGCCGCATGCGCCGCCGCCGTCGACGCCTGCGCCGCCAGCTGCGCCGCCGCCGCCGCTACTTCTCGCCGCCGCCACCGTCTTCGTCTCCGCCGTCGTCCCTAAATATCCGACGTCGTGAATTGTTCAAAACGTTTCCGAGAGCGGACCCCCGAATGCTTAGACCCCTTTTCAAAAGACCTGCTTTTCGTCCCTGGTCTTGTTTTGCGTCTCTGTCCGCACTAGCGTCGACGCCTCCATCGTCGGAGGAGGAAGAAGAGGAGGAGAAGGAGGAGAAGGAGGAGGAGGACGAGGAGAAGAAGGGGGGAGGAATGCGGAGGAGGAGGAGAAGTGAGGAGGAGAAGGAGAAAGAGTGAGGAGGATGGGGAGGAGGAGGTGGAAAAGGAGGAGGTGGAAAAGGAGGAGGTGGAAAAGGAGGAGGTGGAAAATGAGGAGGGGGAGGGAAAGGGATGATCAGGAGGAGGAGGACGACGAGGAGAATGACGAGAGGAAAGGAGGATCAAAAGGAATGGGGAGGGGAAGGAATAATAAATGAGGACTGAGGAGTGAGGAGTGAGGAGGAGGAGGAGGAGGAGGAGGAATGAGGAGGACGAAGAGGATATGTTTGATTACTGGCAACACCTGGTGAATGACTGCTGTCCCACCAGACTGCACTCGCCAACACCACAAGAACTGATCCGTGGAATTATCGAGAAAGGTGCCAAGTGCTATAGCGATATCAAGACCGCGGGAAACTTCCATACTGAGCGATATCGGGACCGCTGGAAGAATCTGCAACGGCTAACTCTTCCTCCGGATCTACACAACGGTGCACCATATCAAACTTCCGGCGATTATCTTTAAAAGGTCCTGTATTTCCAGCAACCCATGCTATGGAACGGCCGCGCTGGCGAAGGAGGAACGCCACGGGGCCGGGCGTGCAAATAGCTCTGCAACCACGCAGACGAAGAAGAGAGGAGCACCGCTCGAGCACTGGAGGGACAAGCCAGGCGATGGCCTCGCTTCGGGAACCTCGGGAAGGAGAAGCGAGGGAGCGAGCGAGCATGCATGACCAGGCTCGGCCGTAGCGGGGGGCGGCGGCGCGGCGGCGGCGCTACACGGTTCAAAAGGTTTCACGGACTTGTTCGTCAAGCGGCATGACAAGCTCCCGTGGTAGCTCCCGGAGCTCCCCGCCCTCCATCCGACAGTGGCACCTGGTGGCGCTATACTTCACATCAACGACGCACAACATGATCTTACGCGAGACGACGTAGCGACATCACGCGGTGGCTTACGCGGTGGTTTATGCGGGCCGCCAGCGCGACACGCTGCAGTGGAAAGAGGGCGCTGACGCATCACCTTGCGCAGGCAGTTTGCGCGCGAATGTCCGCACGGTCGAACCCGTCTTCCTGCGTCGCTCACATGATCCCAGGCTTTGGGCCGGGAGCCAGGGTCGGCGAGGAGGGGAGAAGAAGGATGATGAGGGGTCGTCGTCTCCCTCTCCAACGCCGCCGGCGCCGACGCTGGCGCCGCCGCCGCCGTCGGCGAAAGCGGCCGCGGGCCTCGGTGGCCAGCTCGGCAGAGGGAGGGGGCTGCTCTGGGGTGACCTCAGCTGCGGGCGGGGCCTGCCCCCCCACCCCCCCCTCCTCCACCACCTCCTCCTCACCCTTCCTATCTCCCTTCCATCTGCTCCAACACCTGCCCCTCCTCCGTCTGCTCCTTCTCAGCCTCCTGCTCCATGTCCTCCTCCTCCGCTCCCTCTTCCTGCTCCTGCACCCCCTCCTCCCACTCCTCCCCCTCCTCCCCCACCTCGTCCTCATCCTCGTTCTCCTCCTCCTCCTCCTCCTCCTCCTCCTCCCTCTCCTCCTCCTGCGTTGGCCTCATATCAAAGTCGGCGCGTAGCTCCCGTCATTCGGAATTGCGCTCTCGCGCAAACGCGGGCCACTTTTCGGGCTCCTCGCAAAAATGCTTGAAGACTTCCGCCGTCTTCAACTCGTGCTGGAACGCCAACGATGTGCTCCACCTTACCATCGAGATTTCTCGGTGTCTGTGGCTATGCATGGATGTCCCCGCATTTACGACCTGGGTTTACATGTATATGTCTAAATGTACCTTGATCCATCTTGCTTATTTCCCGCAAGTCGATTGGCGAAAAATCATCAAGCCGTAGGGAGGTCCGAGTCGTTCCTCATCGTTGTCGCCCCCCTCTTTCCCCTACTCCGCCTTCCCCTGGTCCTCCTGCATCTTGGTCATGGGCATCGCAAGCCTGGTGCTACAGGCCTCTCCTCCGAGACGGTGGCCCGGCTCCGCGAGATGGCCTCAGAGCTCCTCGAAGAAAAGGTGCGGGCGGTGTTGGCCCCTTACGGCTTGGCTTGGCAGGTCACCACCAAGCAGCCCGAGCTGCCAGAGAGCGAGTACCTGCGGGCGGAGGCTGCCAAGCGTGAGGCGTCGCGGCAGGTCGAGAAGGCCCTGGACGCCCGCAAGCGCTTGCAGCAGCATATCAAGGACGCCGAGAAGAAGTGGGACGAGGCTGTGGCGGCCGAGATGCAAGCGAGCGAGGTGGTGGCTGCTGCTGCTAAGCGCATCTCTGCGCGTGTTCTGCCTCCTGAGCCGGTCAAGTCCGTGGTCCACCCTGACGCGCTGCTGCGGGACGGCGGCAAGGCCATCACCCTGGAGCTCGGCGAGGAATTGGACCTCTCTGGACCTGAATTCTCCGAGGACGACCGCAACATCCTCGCGAAGTTCAAGACTGACATGCTGGATAAGGCCTCCCAGCTCATCACTGAGTCCCTGGCTGGTGTCGCGGACAAAGCAAGGGAGCATAAGGAGGAGTATGCCAGCCAGATTGGCGACCTCAAGAAGAAGCGCAAACAGGAGAAGGGCGACCCTCAGACGGTGCGCCCTTCCGCGCCGGCAAGCGCGGGGGCGGCTTCGTGCAGCGCCCCAGGAGGAGGTGGTGCTCAACCTGAGGCGCATGAGGAACCTGAGTGCGCAGCTTCTAAGGCAGCAGCGCAGGCACGCGCTGCTGCCGCCAAGGCTGAGGCTGAGACCGCCCCGGGCGCGGCCGGAGACGCAGGCACGCCGCCGTCCTAGATCTCCTAGCCCCCCTCCCTCCTGCTTGGCCTCTCTTGCGGCCGTTCTGCAATCTAAGACTCCGACCCCACGTCTGCGAATGATTGTTGCCAACATCTCCCTCTGGGGGCCTTCAGCTAGGCGCTGGTCGGCAGAGACCTCGGCAGACTTAATTTTGTTTTCGGAGCATCGGCAGATCGGTAGCGATTTTGATTCCATGGTCAAGTTTTTGCATCGCTCTGGATGGAGGGTAATTGCCAATACCGCCGACACAACATCAGCGCTTTTCGGTAGCCCCAGAGTTTTGATTATTAGTCGATCCCATTTGCAATTGATCAATTTGGCCAGGCTTCATGCAGAGTGGACGGATGCTAGTTGCTCCCGCAACACATTTGGCACTCTGCGATTGCGGGGTGTGGACGTCACGATTGCTTCCGTCTACTTGCACGCGTGCATTGGCCTCACGGGTCTTAATATCTCTCTGCTCTCCGAGCTAGGCGTTCTCATCTCGAGAGCGGGTGCGCCTGTCATCGTTGTAGGTGACTGGAACATGCGGTCGGAATTGCTGAGTGACTCCGGCTTCCCATGCCGAATGTTGTTGCCACGTGTTCTGGAGCAGGTACCCTTAGTCTCATTGATTCCTGCTGTGTGAGCAATGCTTTCCTGGATGCTATTGAATTTGATGGCATCGACCCCTTAGCCCCGTGGGGAACCCATAGTGCTTTGAGCTTTCGCATTTGTGCTGCCCGTCGCCAGTTTTGAGGTGCTGAAGATCATGCAGCTGAAAGGTCTTGATATGAAAGGTGTTGTGGGTCCCTCGCTGCCCTGGACGAGCGCCGTGGCCAAGGTAAAGTGCATGTTTCATTGCACTCAGCGTTTTCGAGGATCCAGCTCCAGCGCCTGGCATGAGTTACTGCTTGTCCATGATGTGCCTCATGTAGCCTTAGGGTTGGGACATGGATTCTCTGAGTGGTGCATTGCGGTTGAACTGGAGGCCTGTTATCGTTTGCAACTCCCTCCACATTCTTGGAATGCCCATGTCGGGCGTTGCCAGCCTCCTCGCATTCGCCAGGTCCCTCCTAAGGAAAACCTCCTGCTCCGCCAGCTCCATCCACTCCAATTCCCGCTGCTGCTGTTCGTCATCGTCCTTCTCCTGCTCCTTCCTCCTCCTCTTTTTTTCTTCTGATCCTCATCCTGCTAATCCGCCACCTCCTCCTCATTTGTCTCCTTCTCCTACGTACGCAACTCCCCTGCCGATGGCACATAATCCGCCGACCCTGTCGGCGTGTGTGAGGGGCTTTTCCGTTCGAGCCGTCATCTCCGTCATTCTTTGTACTCGTCGTCTCTGTCCTTCCCTTTCCCTGGGAGACCTCTTCCCCTGGGCTCCAGCCAAGCCGACCTTGAGCAACCTCGTAATTGAGTCGAAGGGAAGCCCCTTCCCTTTGATCCCTCCCCCGCCGGGAGGGGGGGGGGGTGTCGACCCCCCCCCCGGGTCAGATACGACGCCCCCCCCTGGGACTCCTCTTCCCCTGGGCTCCAGCCAAGCCGACCTTGAGCAACCTCGTAATTGAGTCGAAGGGAAGCCCCTTCCCTTTGATCCCTCCCCCGCCGGGAGGGGGGGGGGGGTAGCGACCCCCCCCCCGGGTCAGATACGACGCCCCCCCCTGGGACTCCTCTTCCCCTGGGCTCCAGCCAAGCCGACCTTGAGCAACCTCGTAATTGAGTCGAAGGGAAGCCCCTTCCCTTTGATCCCTCCCCCGCCGGGAGGGGGGGGGGGGGTCGACCCCCCCCCCGGGTCAGATACGACGCCCCCCCCTGGGACTCCTCTTCCCCTGGGCTCCAGCCAAGCCGACCTTGAGCAACCTCGTAATTGAGTCGAAGGGAAGCCCCTTCCCTTTGATCCCTCCCCCGCCGGGAGGGGGGGGGGGGTGTCGACCCCCCCCCCGGGTCAGATACGACGCCCCCCCCTGGGACTCCTCTTCCCCTGGGCTCCAGCCAAGCCGCCTTGAGCAACCCTGGGCTCCAGCCAAGCCGACCTTGAGCAACCTCGTAATTGAGTCGAAGGGAAGCCCCTTCCCTTTGATCCCTCCCCCGCCGGGAGGGGGGGGGGGTGTCGACCCCCCCCCCGGGTCAGATACGACGCCCCCCCCTGGGACTCCTCTTCCCCTGGGCTCCAGCCAAGCCGACCTTGAGCAACCTCGTAATTGAGTCGAAGGGAAGCCCCTTCCCCCTGGGAGACCTCTTCCCCTGGGCTCCAGCCAAGCCGACCTTGAGCAACCTCGTAATTGAGTCGAAGGGAAGCCCCTTCCCTTTGATCCCTCCCCCGCCGGGAGGGGGGGGGGGGTGTCGACCCCCCCCCCGGGTCAGATACGACGCCCCCCCCTGGGACTCCTCTTCCCCTGGGCTCCAGCCAAGCCGACCTTGAGCAACCTCGTAATTGAGTCGAAGGGAAGCCCCTTCCCTTTGATCCCTCCCCCGCCGGGAGGGGGGGGGGGGGTCGACCCCCCCCCCCCGGGTCAGATACGACGCCCCCCCCTGGGACTCCTCTTCCCCTGGGCTCCAGCCAAGCCGACCTTGAGCAACCTCGTAATTGAGTCGAAGGGAAGCCCCTTCCCTTTGATCCCTCCCCCGCCGGGAGGGGGGGGGGGGGGTGTCGACCCCCCCCCCGGGTCAGATACGACGCCCCCCCCTGGGACTCCTCTTCCCCTGGGCTCCAGCCAAGCCGACCTTGAGCAACCTCGTAATTGAGTCGAAGGGAAGCCCCTTCCCTTTGATCCCTCCCCCGCCGGGAGGGGGGGGGGGTAGCGACCCCCCCCCCGGGTCAGATACGACGCCCCCCCCTGGGACTCCTCTTCCCCTGGGCTCCAGCCAAGCCGACCTTGAGCAACCTCGTAATCTCTTGCTGCGCATTGCGAACAGGGTCGGCGGCACCGGCCGTCAGGCCTTCGCAATAGGATAAATAAGTATTTGGCGAATTCCGGGTCCGTTATGACACGCGTCCACAAATAGAGGGAAAGCAACGCAACGGGACAAGAATGGGTGGGAGGGGTGGGATGTCAGATATGGAGCGAGCGCACCTTGCTTGTTCCCCCTCCTCTCACTTCCTCCGTTCCTCCTCATCCCCCCCCTTGCCTTCACCTACCTGGGGCTCAGGACAGCAACATCGGGTCGTGCACTGAATGAGCGGAACACTGCGCGAACAGTGCCAGTAGCTCCGAGAGAACATCCACACCTGTCTTCGGAGGGTGGGCCCACCCGCTCAGGGACAAAAGTTGCCACATCCTCCTGTTCCTTCCTCCCCTTCCTCCCTGGTTCCTCCCTTCTCCCTGCCGCCCCTCACCGCTGAGGCCGCGGCGACGGTCGCCTTCGGCTGGCCCCGGGGTGGGAACGGCAGCTTGGGCACCTGGCTGTGAGGCGCCCAACCCCCAACCTCCATACCCCCGACGCCATGCTGTTTTCCCTGACGTGGACCCTCAAGGAGGTCTAGGCCCCTTCCCGGGGACCGGTGTGTCATCCTGCGTCGAAATCTTGACGGTCCCGAAGGCCGGGGAAGGCCCCCAGGGAGCGACAACCACCAAAACGCGCCGATTGTGTTGTTATTCACACGACACGGGGGAGCCTGCCCACCATCCCTATGATGCATGCCAAGATACGCTCCAAGAGTTCTGGAAGATGCAGAGGCACTCGTGTCTTGATGGGGTGACGTCAGGGGGTCACGGGCTCACGGGGGAACCATCGAGCTAGAATCGGCGATGCATCGCCGCTTGATTGGCGATGGGCCCCCGATAGCGAATCCGAACGCCCTTGGGCGAAGTGGGCGTCTAGGTGGAGCACACCGCGTGGTGCAATTCACCTGTTATCAATGAGTTGTCACTTCCACGAAGTCGCAAAGCTCCCTTTGTCGAACGGACATCCCACCCACCCACCCAGCACTTGGTTTGCAGAACCCATGCGGCGGCGATTGCTACGACTGCTTGGCACTGGCTGGCGCGTCTTTGCGGCCGCGCTGGCGCGCATGCTGGCGCGCACAACGGACACTTAGTCTGGAGCGACCAACGCGACCGCGATGGAGCTGACCGCTGAGAACTTCCCCGCGCGTCATGCAATCCACGCTGCAGCGCGTGCTTTGCAGTGCGAATCGGTGACCCAGGCGGGCGCGGTAGCATGGCGACGTCGACAACTGCACACACGATGAGATGGTAGCGATGCGGTGGGCGATAATGCCAATCAGGGCGGCCCGATGCCGATCACGCCGATGCTGATGCGGATGACGCCAATGACGGTGATGGTGTCCACGTGTGGGTGATCAGGGCTGTGGAAGGATTTCGGCATGCGCGCGCGGCCGACGCGCGCGAGGGGGGCCGCATAGTATCATGTGGTATGGCTCGCGCCCCCAGCAAACGCGCAGAGGCGTTCGAATGACTTCGACATGCGCGCGCGCGCGATAGGCCAGCTTGGCCGAATTTGATGGAAGCGGTTTGAACACTCACGGTTTCGAGCGATTTCGCAGAAGCACACAGGTGTTTGTGAAAGCGCGTGGTGTAACGTCGCTTGTGCTTCATCGGTTTGAGAGGCATTGATCTTGAAACCCGTGCGGCCACGATGCTTCTTTTTGCCAGGGGCAATGATGGCTTGCGTTCGCGTCGCTGCGCGCTCGCGCGTCGACCTGGTCCACGCGTTTACAAGAGGTGCTCAAAACTGACCCATATTTGATAAACTTGTTGGCGCGCATAGTGTTGTCTGACGAAGATGAGGGGGGCGAGATACCTTCCGGGTTGTATCCCTGCCGAATTTCGGCTGCGCGGCGTAATCAGCTGCACATTGCAATGTCCAGGGGCGGGGGATAAGCGCAGAGGGGGACGGGACAGTCTGCACTCGTGCTTGCCACAGGGATCTGCGTGGTGCCGTATACTTTGTGCAATAGTTAGATGTTGGGCAATATGTGCGATGCATTTGGTGAGGTGCAGTCGATGTGGTGCACGGTGAGAGATGCAGTGGGTGCTGTGCAAGATAATTTGTGCAAGCTACGAGGCGCAAACTACGTGGCGCAATACATGCGATGCAGTCGACGAGGTGCGCTCTACGTGGTGCAGTGGGTAACTAACTTAATATGAAAAGTGAGAGGGTGTGTGGTAGAGAGAAAGCGAGAGAGAGAGAGAGAAAACAAAAAAAAACAACACCTAGAGAGAGGGATACATCTATTGAGCAATCAAAATGGTGCTTGCTACGCGGTGCAACCTATGTGGTGCATGTAATTTCTATTGGCGGTGAATTGTCAACTGCACGCTCGCGCAACCATCCCACCCACCCACCCGCAACTTGGTTTGCAACACCCGTGCGGCGGCCATTCCGATGACTGCCTGGCGTTGGCCGGTGCATCTCTGCGGCCGCGCTAGCCCGCGTATGCTCGCGCGCGCAGCTGCCAGCTACCCTGCCTGGCGCGACCGACGCGGCCGCGGTGGCGCTGGCCGCTGGGCACTTTCCACCGGGCACTTCAGTGGGAGCCGGCGACTTGGGCGGGCGCGGTGCAACGTCGACACCGGTAAACGCGATGATGGTCGTAGCGATGCTGGTGGCGACGATGGCAACGACGACGGCAAGGCCAGTGTCGGCGCCGATGCTGATCACGCGGGCGACGATGATGGCGTCTTCCGTCGGCGATGAACGTTTGGGAAGGCGTTCGTCATGCGCGCGAAGACGACGCGCGAGTGGCCCGCATGTCAAAATTTGACACGGATCGTGTACCCCCAGCGCGCACGCAAGGGCGGTCGAATTATTCTGGCATGCGGCGCGAAAGGCCCGCTTGGCAGAATGTAATGCACAGGTGGGCGCACCTAATGTTTTTTTTTTGTTCAAAGAATTCGCAGGAGAGTGAGCGCATGCATTATTGAGAAATGGTGTTGTAACGCCATGTAACTTATCTGTTTTCTGGACACTCGATCATGCAACCTCTGCGGGACCAAAGATTGCCGAGGAATTTTCGCACGCGCGCGCGACGTCGCGTGCGCGCGCACTGCGTCCCTTGTTTTGAACGGGATTCGAGCGACCGCGCGAGCACAAGGGCGTTCGAAATATTTCGATATGCGGCGCAAGAGACCCGCTTGGCTGAATTGAATGGGACCTATTGGAATACAAACGGCTTTCTTTATAATCTAAAAGAGCGCAAACACATTCTTTATAATCTAAATCTGCACACTTTTGTTGCGAACCCATGTGTTTTGTATACGTTTTCGGTGCGCTCGATTTTGGAATCTGTACGACACATACGGCTTGTTTGAAGAATGTCCGCATGCGAGCACGACGACGCGCGCGTGCAATTCGTAACACGCTTTGCAAGGGATTCTGAAACCTGCTGGTTTTGATGAACGAATGCGCGCGCGCAAAATTCTCTTCGGATGATGTGGGTGTGGGCTTCCCGGTTCGGATGGGATACGAATTCCAGGATGGACGATTCGCACGGAAATTGCAATACGCAGAGGGGGTCCGCGAAGTCCGGGGGGAGGCGGGGGAGAGTCCATTTCCCTGTCAAAAGGGAAAACTGGTGATCGCTCGTTTTGTCGACTCCACTGTTTGCGCAATCGTCCCACCCACCCGCACCCGTTTACACATGCGGCGGTGACTGTGATGACTGCTTAGCGCTGGCTGGCGAATCGCTGCGGCCGCGCTGGCGCGCGCATGCTCGCGCGCAGAACGGCTACCTAGTCTGCTGCGACCGACGCGGCCGCGGCGGCGCTGACCGCTGGAGACTCCCCAACGCGTCTCGCAGGCCGCGTTGAAATGCGGGCGCTTCAGAGCGAGTCGGTGACCCGGGCGGGCGCAGTATCATGGCGACGTCGACCAGACACGATAATAATAGTAACGATGCTGGTTACGATGGTGACGATAAAGACGGCAAGGCCAATGATGGCGCCGATGCTGATTACGCCGACGACGGTGATGGTGTCCACGCGTCGACCATGAAAATGTTGGAAAGATTTCTCCATGCGTGCGTCCTGCGGGCGCGGCTAACTTGCATGGTCTCATTTTACAAAGATATCACACCCCCCAAGGAAGAGCGTAGAGGCATTCGAATGAGTTTGGCATGCGCGCGCGGTACGCCCGCTTTGTCGCACTTGGTGAACATAATGAATAACCGATGGTTGTTCCCAGGATTCGCATGATCGCGCGAATGCTTTGCTTGGCGCATCGTTCTGCAACACCATTGGTTTATGTTTTCGGGGAATTCGATCTTGATTTCTCTGTGACACACTGGGTGTCGATGAATTCCAGCACGCGCGCGCGACAACGCGAGCGTATGAACATTGTCGCCTTGTTTCCAAGGGTTTCTTGACACTTCCTGGTTCTTGATATGCGAGTGCCCAAGCATAGTTTTTTGGGGGAGGAATGGGGGGTGGCGGCAAGGTGATCACCAGAGATTGTACGGGCTCAGATGTACAATGCGTGATGTGGCTGTGCAGAATGGTTAGAACTTGTACTAGCCCTTTGGGAGCCGACAGCCCCCTGGAGGGAATCCTAATTTCTTATGGAAAGGAGAACACATGTTGTGCAATCGAAGCGGCGACCAGGCGGCGACGGCGAGCACGGAGCCGCCAGACCGACAAACAGGCACAGAGGACGGGCGGCGACGAGGCGGCGACGGCAAACACAGAGCCGCCAGACCGACACCTAGGCCCAGACGACGGGCGGCGACGAAGCGGCGACGGGGCGGCGACGGCCAGCACTGAACCGACAGACCGACATTCAGACCCAGACGACGGGCGGCGACGGGGCGGCGACGGGGTGGCGACGGAGAGCACGGAGCCGCAAGACCGACATTCAGGGTCAGTTTCTCAGAAGAGAAGCAAGAACCCCGAAGTGCAAGCACAGCCTTGTCGTGTCCTCTTGCTCCTCTGACCCTTTGCTGCCCGCGGCCGGCGCTGGCGCAGGCGAGAAAGTGGTGCGGCCATCCTCGGGCCTCGCGTGGGGGCCTCGGAGGGGGCCCAGGCACCCGACGCGCCGATCCGTGCTTTCAGCGAGGCTCGCCAGAAGTCTGGACCTTTTTCGCTGAGGGCCAGCTTCCTGCTCCGCATCTTCGACGTTCTGCTTGCTTCAACTCTGGCGCTTCTCCACGATGTCGGCCTCTGGGGCCCGTTATCGGGCCCCGGGGCCATCAACAACGGATCTGGGACCGCCAATTTTGTGTGTATGTGTGGTTGTGTGTGAGTGTGTCCTCCTCCCTCTCTCTCTCCCGTCCTCCCGTCCACTCTCTCTCTCTCTCCCTCTCTCTCTCCCCCTCCTTCTCTCTAGCATTACCCTCCTCCGGGTGCTCCTCTTCGTCTTCCTCCTGTTTCTCGTCCTAAGTGTGTTTCTCTTTCGCAAACCTCCTCCTGCCTCCTATGCTCTGCCTTCCTCTGGCTCTTCCTCTTCGCTACCGCCGTACTCGTCGTCCTCCTCCTCCTCCTGCTCCACCTCTGTCTCTCCTTCCTTCTTTTCATCCTGCCCCTCCTCCTCCTCCTCCTCCTCCTCCTTGTCCTGCTTACCCATCCTCGGCATACAGGCTGGTTCCGTTATCGTCTTGCTGCTCCTGCTGATCTCTCGACTCTTCTGTCCTCCTGCAACTCCCGCTCCCTCATCCTCCACCTTCCTCCATAGACCGCCCCTGTCTCATTCCTCCTCTTCCTCCTTCTCCGTCTTCCTGCGTGCTCTTCATCTTCCAACTCTGTTGCATGCCGCCTCCTCCTTCCGTTTGCCCCTTCTCCTCATTCTCCCTCCTTCACCTCCTTCCTTCTCCTGCTCTTCCTCCTCCTCCTCCTCCTCCTCCTCCTCCTCCTCCTCCTGCTCCTCCCTCGTCTTGAAATATTTTCGTGGCACTCCTCTGATCGCCAACCACCGGAGCTACAACAGGGCAGCGAGATTGTCGGAAGATCGCCCCAGGTGCAGACCGCCTCGGTCCTGGAAGCTGTAAAGGCGTCGTGGGAGCCTGCTGCTGCAGGCGCCAGGGCCAAAACCACTCCTGGCTCTGGATGGGTTGCCCTCATGCTCTTCGTGCACGGGCTTGCTCACCCTGCAGTCGGGTCTTCGGTGGCGGGGGCTCATTCGGCGGCCAGCCAGGACGGGGATTTGAGAAGGGGCGGGCCTTCTCAGAAGGCTCGGAAGTCCCACGGCCCCCTGAGAAGCGTCCCGAGCCTGCCCCGGAGACGCCAAAGCCTTCCCAGAAGGCGCGAGGGCATTCTGAGAAGCCCCGCCGCCCTCTGAGAAGGCCCTCTCCTTCTCACCTCCTCCTCTCTCCTCCTCCTCCTCCTCCTCCTCCTCCTCCTCCTCCTCCTCCTCCCTCCTCCTCCTCCTCCTCCTCCTCCTCCTCCTCCTCCTCCTCCTCCTCCTCCCCCCCTCCTCCCCTCCTCCTCCTCCTCCTCCTCCTCACCTCCCCCCCCCCTCGCTCGCCGCCGCCCCTGCCCTCCGCGCTCCTGCCAGCGTCGCTCCGCCTGCACGCTTCGCTCCGCGGCCGCGCACGGGCGCCCGCTGCTCCGAGGGGTCGCGCACGGCGCCCGCCCCCCCGCCGCGGCGGCGCGGGGCGCCCCTGCCCTCGGGATCCCGCGCCGGCCTCGACCGCGCCGCGCGAAGCGCAGCTCTCTCCGCGCCCCCCGCGGGGCCCCCGGGCAGTCGCAGCAAAGGGCGGGTGTCCTGCCAGGAGCGGGCACGCCTTGGCCCCACTGCCCGTCTGGCCGTGCTGCCGAGGAGGAGGGGGGGGGGACCGCTCGAGAGGGAGACCGCCAGGTGCCCGGATGTGGACGCCCGACATGGGCACGGAAAGAATGGGTACAGTGCCCAACAGAAGTTCTGGTTCATCTTGAACAGGACTCGCTGTCGGTGTCGCCGCGGCCTGTGTCCATTCGAGACAGAGGGCCGCCTGCCCAACAGCGGCCGCTGTTAATTTTGGGATAACATACGCTGTTGGGCATTATACCTTTTCTCTCCGTGCCCATTTCGGGCGTCCAAACTTGGGCGTGACTTAACGGGGGGTCATAAACGGGGGGTCAGAAACGGTCCCCTTTCGTGCCCCTTTCGGGCTCCTCCGGAGCCCCAGGGGGCTCGTTTAGGTACCGTTTGGGTACCTTTTCGGACCACCCTCGCCACCCCCCCATTTACGATCCCCCCATTACGCGACGCCCAACAAACCGGAGGCGGTCGGGGCCAGGGGCCGGGGAGCAAGGTCCAGAGAGCCGTCGGAGGAGCCCTGGCGCGGAGTGCCAGGCCTCGCCGGCCGGCGTACCTCCCCCTCCCAGAATTTGGGGGTGGGTGCCGTCTCCTTCGGGCGTCGCTGCGCGCATCCCCACCAACATATCACAGAAGAGCTGGGGGAGCTGACCTACCCTGCCCCAGTGGGGGTTGGGATGGTGCTGACGATGATGAGTGAGACCCCCCCTCTGGGTCTCTACAATCCTCTGGACCCGTCCGCATCCGCATCGGCAAGCCACGTCTGCGCCCTCGAAGGCGATCTGGTACACGTCGTCAAAATGGTCAACGAAGTGCGCTGTGACACCAGCACGCAGGTACTCCTGAGGAGGAGCAGGAAGCAAAAGGCAATATCAATCAAAATCGAATTGGGGAAGTCGGTTCGAATCGGAATGTACGTCGGATCGGGCTACATTAGCACAGAGTCGAAATCGAGTGGGCAGGGCTGCGCCAGGATGCGTAACAGCGCCATGCGAGCATCGGCCACAGACGATCGTCGAATATCGGATTGAAATCAGATAGGGCCAGCCGAAATCAATATCGGCTCGGATGGGTCGGAGGCACAGGGTCTGCGGCCACCTTGCAATTACCAAGCGACTCGACAGAAGCACGGCCGAAAGAGGGCTAGGAAGGGCCATGCAACCTAAGAACCCAATGGGAATGCCGTGGGGCCGGAAGTCTTGCACGTGCAGTGCATGGCAAGGGGATCGCACTTCTGACTAGTGACAGCTTGCTTTCAACTAGTGTCGCCAGAACTGGAGCAATATGAGACTGTATACACATGGACTTTCGGAGGCGCGCGCGGATCTTGCGGATCGGCACCGGCAGGGGGGCCTAGCGCCGATGAAGCAAATCCGCACGGACATCCGAAAGACTATGCATTTACAGTTTTTATTCGTCGAGAAACGATGGGAGGACGAGGATCGCACCTTCAGCTCGATGAAGTCTGCCTCGTTCTGCCGCGGCAAGCAGAGCGTATTCACCCCGTCTCGACGGGCCGCGATCACCTTCTCCTTGATACCGCCAACCTTCAGGACCTCGCCGGCAACTCGGCAGAAGGTGAATGTATAAGAGACGCCTTAAAAAAAGGTTCAGAAGACAGGGGCGGAAGCGGAGAAGAGATAGCGAGGATGAGGACGGGAAGAAGCGAAAGGAGGAGCAGGTCCAGCATGAGAAGTAGGAGCAGGAGCAGCAGCAAGACCCGCGGGGAGAGAATGTCGGTCGGCTCGTCTCCCGTTCCCCCCTGCGTCGCCTTCTGCTCCTCCCCCTCCTCCACCTCGTGCTGCTGCTCCTGGTGCTGCTGGTGGTCCTGGCGCAGTGCTTGTGCTGCGGGCGCTGGTGCCTCTGGCTGAAGCTGCCAGTGCTGCGTCGCTCCTCCTCTCCATCGGGGTAGAGCGTCGACAAAGAGAAACACCATCTCGGGGCGACTCCGTGTAGAATCGGGGAGACGTAAGACTCGGGTACGGGGGACTAGGGTTGGCCCGACGGGGCCATCATAAAAATGACGAGGCCCAATCTGAAATTTGACGCGAGCTCCCGCTGCAAACATCCCACGAAAACTGGACCGTCAAAATCCAGGACGCGCTCGTCAAATCAACGTCGGCAAACCCGAATGCCGGCTTACCCGATAGAAGGGCAAGAGGGGAGGAGGTCCCCAGAGACCTCTCATGAACTCGGCAAGTCTCTGCCGCTGCCAGGGGGTTCGCGGAAGCCGCTGAAGACGCAGCATGTACCAGACAACGTCCAGAAGCCTCGAGGTTCGATGGTCGAGGGGTGAAGAGGAGGAGCTGCGGAGTTGCGGCTAATGCGGCTGCGTCGGCTGCGAAGCAAGCAGCTTGAACTTCATGTTTCTGGGCTTCTTCGGCTTTCCTAGGAACCTTCAGTCACAGCCCGCGATACAATCGATAAGACCATCTTTTCCACTGCCAGTAACTGCTACTAGTAGTTCACACTCTGAGAGAGCTTCTGAAAGTCAGAAGGTTTTCCAAGAGGGGCCTCGCAAGCATAGCCATAGGCATGTGCGCGGCCCCGGGGGGGCAGGGGCAGGGGACTTGCTGAAATGGGCAAAGGGGATGGGTATGCGATCTGGGGAGGTACCATGGTCCCGCTATGAGATCCCCCCCCTCCTAACCATCACCCCCCTCCTGACCGCCCCCGACCCAGAAGGCTGGACCCCTTCCCAGGGACCGTTCACGGGGTTCAGACCTGGACTTTTCTGTCACGACTCGAGGGTGTCGGGGTCCGGGGCCGCTTGCCTTGCCGGACAGCGTGAGCTCGCCTGTCATGGCGAGGTCGGGCCTGACCGGCGTGTCGAGGGCCAGGCTTACCTCCCCTCCGCGGCCCTGTAGTCAGCACTCTGGCCTCCGCCCTGTTAGGGAGACCTCCGTCATCGCCCTCCCTGGGGGGCGGGGGGGGGGCACTGTCAACACGTATAATAAGGACGCATGGTGCGGATGCAGGGGCCTTGGAAGGCCATGTCGACACTTTGCGGGCCAGGCGCGGCCAGCTAGAGCGGCCAAGCATGGGCCGAAGGGGAAGGATGCAAGGTTAACCTTGGAAATGGTCCCCTCCTCTCCTCCTTGCCTTGCGGGTTGACGGTAGGGCTTACCACCATAAGGGGCGCTCCAGAAACGGCCTCGCCGTCGAGGGCTGAAGGAGCAGGTGGAAGCCGGCAGAAGTAAGAGAGACGCCATCCAGAGATGGCAACCTTGAGCCGGGAAGGCGGGTCCTGAGAGCGAGAGGCGACGTGGAGTCATTCGCCGTCTTCTTGGTTGCAAATGCAAGAGTGTGGCCCTGGGCAAGGATTGTCCACACCCAAGAGCGACCCTGGGCAAGGAGTGGCCTTCGGTGCGGCGGCTTCAGGTCGGGGGTGGGGGCAAGCGCAAGCGCGGAAACCGCTGCTGTGGCATCGCATTCAGCGGGGGTCGGGGGCCCCCTGTAAATGTCACTCCGGCGGAGGCGACGTTTTCGGGCTCCCCAGGCCCTCCCTTGGCCCAGGGGCCTTCAAAGAGCGAGCTGGGACGAAAGATGACGATCCTGGGGAGGACAGCGAGGTCCAGGGACCGCTCCCTCCCTCCAAGGCGAGAACAGCTGGATGGAGAAGAAGGAAAACAATTGGACCTGCTGGCTCACAGGAGAGCGTGGGCGCCAAAGAAGAGCCGTTTTCCATGCATGCCCCACCCCCCAACAACTCACCCACATCTCATGCACCAGCCAGCACCGCGAGTCGCACCACAGACATCGGACGTCATGGGTGCTCTCGCAACGTCGTCTTTTAGATGTCTGGACCCTGCCGAGGGGCGTGTTTTGATAGCCCCAGGGCCCCGCGAGGGCTCCCAGAGGCAGAAAAATGCCCCAAACATCCCTGTCGTGACGCGATAATGACCGAGGGGCGTCTGGGCTGCCAGGACTCGTGTCAATCACGAACATCAAGAAAAAGAAACGACGATACACACCGCGGAATCCCACTACAGCCACGCGCCCAGAGACTGTGCAAGGCCGTTCGGCCTTCCCACTCTGAAATCTACACCTGTAAACTCACATGTATACATGTACACATAGCCTGCATACATATTATGTATGTATATGTTTCCATTTGTGTAGGCTCTTCATCACCGCCTGCACCCCGCACCCTCGGGCCGCCTGAGGCCCCGTCCGCCCGCGCCCTGTCTCCCCAATTAGTGCTTTGCGCGGCCCGCCTAGCTCTTAACCGGAAGAGGCTGGCTCTCGACCCGCAGACCAAGAATGTTTCCATTTGTGTGTGACGAGCGGCATGCCCCCCCATTTGGCGGCTGTCAAACTCGAGCCAGTGGACGCTCTGAGCCCTCAGCTTTCGCATCACGGCACGCCAGGGCTATCAGATCACCGCCCAAGTCTGCCACAACCAATGGCCTTGGTTCGTCCTCCTTCTCAACCTGCTCCTCCAATTCTAGCTCGTCCTCCTCGTCCTCATCATCACCCCCTCTTTGTCTGGCCCCATCTCTTCCTTGTTCGTCTCGTCCACGCCTCGTACTCGTCCATCTTCATCCCAACTGTTCCTGAAGATCGCGGGGCCGCGCGACGATGCAACTTCCGCATACACAGTCGACGCTCAGGCTGAGAAGCCCTCTCCCACGAGATCGCAGGGCATGCTTGAAAAGACCGGGGACCACGAGCCAGGACCTGCGATAGCCGCTGCACCCCAGCTGGGACAGGCTTGCAGACCTGGAGGACGGAGCTCCACGGCGGACGGGGCGAGCGTGTACGATAGCCCCCCTGTGCTGAGCCACCTTCCCGCCCGTCCAGGAGACGGAGGAGGGATGAGGAGGGCTCTAGGTAGGTGGGATGCAGGGAGGAGGATGGGAAGGAGGGGTTAAGAAGAGGACGCCACCCTGCGGCTCAGGATCTACGGAACGTACGACCGCTCCGTCAACTGGGCCCCTGCAGGCTGCTCCGCTCAGCCACCGACCCGTTGTCCCCGATACAAATCCTCAACCGACTCCATGGGAGGAGGGGGAGGGCGATGAGGAGGAGCGAAGAAGGAGAGGAGGGGGAGCTGAAGGAGGAGGAGGAGGAGGAGGAGGAGAGAGGAAGGCGAGAGAAGGAGAGAGGATGAGGAGAAAAGTAAAGAGCAACTAACGAGGAGTGCGACTACGACGAGAAGGGCAACATCGTGCGCCATCCACCACTCGCACCACGAGGTGCACGGCAGTCACCGCCACCGCCCAAACCAAGAATATCAGCGCAACCATGGCGTTCAGTATACGTCGACAGCCAGCTCGGCCTTGGACATGCACATTGCCAAGTACAGCCAAGACGACGGCACCTACAAGAGACAGCTCGATGCGATCATGGACAACATCAGGGATATGAGCATTTTCACAGTCTGCGACTACGTCGAAGAAAATAGGGATATGTTCACCTTCAACAACAGCATCATTTAGAACTAACGCGAGTAGCCGATGAATCATGAAGGCACCATGCGGGGCACTAACGAAATACAGACGCCAATAGCACCAGCAAGAACGCAGAACCCCGACGATGGCCACACGCAGGATCACGTGACCATCCACCCAGGTACCAGCAGCCAAGCACGGCACTGGGGTCCCCAGAGCCCACAGAGCAGACGAACCACACAATGCAGGACATCGTCCACCTGATAAGCCTGATGGCAGACGACAGTCCAAGCACCAGCCAAAGCTATGACCCCCAACGATGCCACTCCCCAATCCCAACCAACGACGACGCCACCGAGCGACCATCAACATGCCACCACCGACTTAAACACAGGCGACACGCCTTCGGCATCGCCAACGCGACGCTGACGGATCCAACCCATCAGGCATCACACGCGCCCAGAGTTAACCGCTGAAAGTCAACGTCCCCCCGACAGCCTATGGTTCCAAGCCGCGCCATCCACCAAAACACCCCTACCGAGGTACGAAAGGACAGCGCAATCCGAAGCAATCACCTCCACGCCACAACCCGACAATCAGAGCCAACTGGCTGTCGACAGACGGTCAGGCCCAAGGTCCAATGATGGCAACAGCGTCACACCCAAGCACCAGAAGGCACCTGCATAACCACTCGTGGCGGCCCCCCCCCCACAGGACGTACCTAAGGTCGACAACTCCCACGTCTCATACAAGTCCCAACCCCTGACAGGACAACCACGCAAACTGCTACCGTGGGCATGCTCACAGTATACGAAGGGGCCCAGACACCAGTCGAGGAGCTAAACATTGGAATCCGAACAGGAGCAATGGCAACGGACATCCAACACGATGCAATCAACCGACTGGTCGATACCATCAGCAACACCCACTACGCCGCAAGCGCTGCGCCCTTCAAGATCCATACGCACAAGATCGTCAACGAAAATCTGGCCAACATCATCTAACAGGATGCTATGTAACACCAACCCCGCCACCGTCATCGGCGAGACTGACACGAACACGATCAGATCATGAACTACTTCATTGGCGCACTACGGAACTGCTAGGGCAATCCGGCCAGTCAATCACCTGCCCGATTCATCACGATGGCGAACCAGAGAGTGCCACCGAAGTGTAACAATTACTAACTGTGCGGCATAATGGCATATACCACCGACGGCGTCCAATCATTGATTACCTCGCACGACTACGCCACACGCGCTAAGGTGAGTCGTCTGCATCAGAGTCTGTTTGCGGTACAACCCGAACGGAGCACCATCACTTTTCGCAGCGACAGCACTCCAGAAAGGCGTCGCCAGAGACGTGCACTACCACAGGAACTAACTGCTTTGATAACAGGAGGATGGACAAGCGACCAACAAGACCAACACGAACAACAGGGACCCAAGACCAGACCCCTCCGACCGCCCCGCAGATCCCGGGACGACCCTCCAGACGCAACAGCCCCACGTAGGGACCATCAAGTGCCCACCCTGACCGCCCAACAGGGTCTCGCCTGGCTCCCTCCCCGCAAGACAGAAACCACAAGCACAAGGCGGAGAGCAGCTACAATCACGCCCGCCAGAATCCCTACTGCCGAACTCATAACCCGAGGACTTGTACATAGGATGGACAACAGGAAGAGGAACCACCCCCATACGGCGACTACTAATCGAAAAGTACCACTCCCCGACATCACCGTTGGACGAAAAAAACATCACCCACGGCCCTTCACGACTCAGATCAGATCCGCCGACAACCACGCGCCGCAAGGGCAGGAACTCGACTTACTCGACACATGATATCCAATTCTGTGCTCCGACACTACGTCTGCAAACGACACCAACGAGGAAGACCACTACCACGGCTACGACAACATGAGCAACAAGGCGGGAACAAACAAGCGACCGGCACCGACCCAATCGACTGGGAATCGCGCGTGATGCGGACAACCCCGCACCGATCCCGCCGACTGCGTGATCGATGTCAACCAAGCACCCAGTCCGTGCATCGATCACGGCTCGTGGCACAGATCAATCCTACCCGCTCCGCAAACCACCAGTTAAGAGGCGAAAGCCACCCTCATACCGTGACGGAGCCTGCCTCACGAAGGCCCGCCTGTTCACCACCCTCTCTTTACCATTGTTGCTCCCAACGACCGACAGCCCACATTCAATTGTGCTCTTGGCAGCTTACGGCGGCATCAGCCGTCCTTTACTTACCCTGCATCTGACCTCGGCACGATCCTTACACCGAATTGCCGCACTCATTGATACAACAGTCGCAGCAGCTGGACCACCAGCGTACACTTCACACCACATCATTCCGACCTCATCTCCCAGCGACATCGAAACTCCATCCTAGCACATGGCGACGGCTACCACCCCGACAGACACGAGGATAGTGGATCCACA